GGGGGGCGGGGGGCTCCTCCGCCGCAGACCCGAGCGCTCTGACGTCTTCCTCCAGCGAGCCGGGGCGTCGGGACAGCCGTCGCCGAAAACCATCCATCTTCCCGCCGAATGATGGCAAGGCTGAGTGTACATTGTCCCTCTCCCTTTCCCTCGTCGTCCCGCCCGCCTTCCCCACGTTGGATTAATCCTTCCCATCCTCGACGCCTTCGCTCCCACGCTATTTAGAGATCTTCCCCCAACCCTCACTCCGGCGGGCGCCTTCCGATCCTGCAAAGGGAAGAGGCGCCCCGCGGCCTGATCCCAGGGGCGGAGGGGTGAGGCGGAATGAGCACAAAGGATGGACACTTCTAGGTCCGGCTTTTCTGGAGGGGGTAGCAACCGGGATTTCCAGGGACTTCTGATTCTCAGAGCTGTCCCCTCCAAGGACCATCTCCCTCCTCGCTGTCCCAGCCCACGGCCTCCCTCTAGCAGACCCCACCCACTCTGACCAGGACTGCCATCAATACCCTTACCCCACCTGCGTTTTCAAAGGCACCCCTGCCCCATTTGAGTGGTGAGATGGAGGATGGAGCAGATAGGATATGATCTGTGAGCAGAGCTAACAATAGTTTTACTATACACCTGGCTCCTTTCACAAGCATTCTGCTTCTGTATAATAGATGAAGCTTTTATGCTAATCTCCCTAGGCTGCGGCTACCAGAAAGCTCAAACTGTCCCCAAACTGCTATTCACACACTTCTCGAGAGTTGCCCAGCTTTCCCCTGCTCCTTCTGTTCTCAGACGTGAAGATGGTCGCAGGCCCGCTTCCTCCAGTTCTCAATGCCATGGCTACAAAGGGGATGAGCGCCATAGCAATGGAACAATAATAGAAGCTGGTAGGATGCTGTGGCCGCCTTTCGGCTGCCAGAGCTGGGGGTGTATTTGTGTGTTTCTGCAGGCCTGCTCCTCACCACCGTTCTGGTGAGCTGTTTTCCTGGTGAGTCCATGGTACTGCACGTCAGCACCGATGTTGGTACTGATGAAGTCGAAATCGTACATCTTTCTCTGTATCCCTGATCGGTACATTTACGCCATGCTTAGGTGATTACACGTTCACATCGCATGACTGAGTAGTCTTGGGACTGGAAGAATATTTCCGTGCATGTGTCTGGCTGTAAAGTAAAAAGAACGAAATTTGCTAATTTCAAGATCGCTATGAGTAGCCAAGGAAAGACAGTAATCCTATCCCGGGTAAGGCTGGGAGGAATGATCCAAGTGAAAATCAGGAGGAGAAAGTCTATGATCCACCTGTACTCCATCCCCCTGGGATCCCAGCCTCTGCATCCGATACCAAGGCTCAGTAAGCAGATGTTCCACTGTCACGTGACCGTCGTAGGCTTGCTGCCTCTGACTTGGCAGTGAGCGTGCTTGGGCTTGGTCTTGTTCCTCTGTGTGCCTGCAGACACCCTGGATCATGGTGCTCGATAAGTATTTGACGAATGAACAACTAAACTAAGAAACACTCGGGTCTAAGGGCCTTCTACAGCCCTGGGTCTTTGCAAGAGTATTAAAACCTTTTCTCTCCAGATAAAGTTGTAGAAAAATGTCGTCCTCTCTTAGTTTAATCAAGATTATTTTATATAGTTAATAAGACTATGTATAGTGCCAAGCGGGTATTAGACTAATTGGAGGGATCACTTCATAAATTCTATTAATGTCTAATCACGATGCTGTACACCTGAAACTAATGTTGAATGTCAACTGTAATCGAGAAATCATTTTTTAAAAGATCATTTTAGAATCTTTAAATGAAGTTTCTCCCCTGTGAGACAGGAAAAACCACTGCACCTAAATTAAAGTTTGGGAACATTCTGTGGAGAGTCTGACTCTTCTGCGAATTCAGGAACTCACTGTCTCTTGTGTCCGTTGCAGGCCAGGGGGCACCTGGGGCCCTCATTCACCCCAGCTCTTGCTTTAAGCACCCAGCCCACAGGCTTTCTGCATCCAGACTCAGGCATGGCCATGTGACTGGCTTTGGCACCCATAAGGGCAGTGACTATGTCACTCCTGCTCAGAGTTGCATCCACAGTGCCTGGGGAAGTCCTAGGCACAGAGAAGGGACTCAGTGGATGTGAATGGATGCATTGTCCTGAAGGCATAGGAGCCTGAGTCCAGTCCCCTTACCAGACCAGACACTAAATTGTCATCAGTTAGAAAAAGAAACCATTGCATATATGATTCAGCCAGCATTGAATGAGCCCCAAAAGATCCCGGCTGGGTATCCTCTCATGTCCCTTTCGAAATCTTCAGCACAGCCCTGCCAGACAGAGAAGATTAACGCCTCTGACTCAAGGGGAAGCTAAACTGCCATGAGAAAGACATCTCACAATGCAATGCAAAAGAGAGGTTTTTTCTCTTTTTTATTATAGTCCAGGGCAGGTGTTCTGGGTTGGCAGATAGCGCTGTTCCACATGCATATTCAGGAACCTGAGTTCCTTCTGTGTTCACTCTTGTGCCTCTACTATTCCCTAGGGCTGTTCCTTGGGAAGACTGGGAGCTTGCACCAGAATGTAAATCAAAGCACCACTTCCTTCATCGAGACACCTTCCTGTGGACAAAAAAAAATGTCAGCTGAACTAAACAATGTGCTTAGCGATTTGCATTCTGGAATAAACTCTTTATCTTGTGGATGAGTAACAAAAGGTTTGAGAATGAGCACCTGGTGCACGGGCCACACTTTTAATTAGCACTGTCCTCAAGTACTGTCCCTTTTTGCATAACCTAGGTGGCAGCTGCCAGGAAGGCGGAAGTGACATAGCAGCACATATGTAGCACTTATCTCTTGTGCTCATATTTCGGTTATAAAAACTCAGCCACATGCTCCCAGGTAACAGGGGCCAGTTCTTCAGTCCATCACAGTGCAGAGAGCAGAGGGAAAGCGGATACACATAACTTCCGACGAAAGAACCTCGCCAACAGGATGGTGTGTATTCATCTTTGGCCTGGCATCCCTGTGGGACATTGCCTGTGCACTCTTTTTTCCAATCCCAGGTGGCATTTTTCAGGAAATTCCATGGCTATTTCCAGCAATGGGCTCTCTACTTCACAGAGCATGAAATATACATCATTTTAAATTTATAAAGAATTCAGGTCAGTTTATATCTTATGCCTTTTCTCTTCCACAGAGCATGAGTCTATGATGTGATTTTCAGGGTGTTTCCCCAAAGGCTTGGAGGGTCTGGTCTAATCAGGCCCGTCTGTGTGCTGGGAAGAGAGGCCTCTTAAACTAGCTCAAGCGAAGTGGGATTTGTTGTGAAAACACAATGGGAATTTCAGGAAATTCAAAGACAGGAACCATGTGGGTCACCTGGGTCTCATGGGAGCTAGGACTAGCCCCAAGCCCCCAAAGCTATTCCAGAGTATTTCCTCCTCTCCACATCTGCTCCATTTCTCGCTCTGTGGACTGACTTTCTTGCCCACACAGCTTCGGCTGATAGGTGACCACTGTACCCACCCCAGCACCCGCCGTAAGGGGGCAACTTTTCACATGGCCTCCTGTCCTCTGCCTCTGCTGGCAACTGTGTCCTAATTCCTGATATACAGGACAGAAACTTCCACCCAGCTCATTATTTTGACCCGGTCACATGGGCTAGAGATTTCCCAACAGCTTATATGAATGAGTAAGTCCAGGATGTCCCATCAACTCCTGTCAGGGGCTAGGAGCACATGGTGATGGATATAGCATGTCCACTTCCCAGGGCACCGGGCAGAGTCGTGTTCCCTGGGATGGGGTGGCCAGGGTGGGCACCCAGACGTCTTGTCCACAATGGCCTCTTCCCCAGTTCCTCAGGCACACGTTGTCTCCTGCCTGATAGTCCATGCTTTGGGCTGTTTCTTTTTCGGTTAGTGACCCAGACATCTCATCACAGAGGGCATGTTTTGTTACTTTCTCCCACCGAGTTCAGATTTTGATGAACTGAATTTTTACTGTGAAACTGGCCGTACTGTTTAGATTTCTCATTTGCATTCAACAAAGACAGGTTGAAATACCCGGTATTACCACAGAGAGTCAAGTATGTAATTCCAGCTTAAATCAATGAAACATTGCATTTTAGTTAATCTTTTCTGACTTCATCAGGAATGAATGTATGTTTTCAGGGTGGCTTTCTGAGATATGGAAAATAGCTCACGCACCTCTATCATTATTGCCCAAGGGGACTCCAGTTTGGGAATCTGTGCCTAAGGTGAAGGAGTTGTTTCTGCTGTAACTGGTCACTTAGATGTTGGTTCCCATGAAGCTCTGAGGGCAGGTCTTGCTGCAGTGAGATGTCCAGGTTCAGGCCAGCGCAAAGAAAGCAGGCTGAGAGGAGAAATGACAGGGCACAGGAAGGTGGCGGTGTCCTGCGCAGGTGTGGCTTCTGATTCTGCCTCTGCCTCGGGGTGACCTCAGACCAGACACTGAGCATCTGCCTCTCTGTTTCTTCATCTATAAATCGAGTTGGTAAAACCTTCCTCCCTAGGGTTTTAGGAGAATTAAATGAGGTCACATGTATCTACTGACTGGCAGCTACTTATTTATTTTAATTAATACTAATAGAGAAATATAATTAAGGCAAGCTAATTTCTTAGATTGTGAGTTTCAAGATGGCATAATTTCCTTGTTTGGTGCCTAATGCAACATCATGTGCTATTTAGACCCCTTGGGGAGATAATCATACAGATAATAACTGCCACTTCGCGAGCATCTATTATGCCCCCGGTGTGGGGTGTAGTTGTCCCTGCATTCACTCTTGTAATCTTCACAACTGTCCATGAAGACGTTATTCATCCCATTTTATAAACGAGG